TTCGGCACTTAACCTGGATGAAACAAAATGACATGATTTGCATAAAGCCCCAATGAAAATATCATAAAATTAATACAGTTCACACAAAGCCAAGCCTCTATGATACTCTGGTCTCTACATTAGTGTTATTTTAGTACTACTTATAACAGTTCTTTCTGGTCCTCGAATCTGATTGGCTGAGAGAAGTGTGATATTCTAGTGATAACAGAAATCCAACCACTTCACCATTTGTTTCACTCCGCTTGCGGTATTTCTCACTGCGAGTGTCATGACGGATGCCCAAATCCACTATAATTTTACAAATAATACTGTTTTGTGTCACAGAATGTAGTTTTGAGAGTTTTTAGGCGAGAATGTACTTGTTTAAACTTCAAATATGCAGTTTGTTAACAAAGATAACGTCTATTTGAAAATTTGCTTCAGTCTTTTCAGAGATGTGAGCTCCAGGGCGTCAGCGGCTGTTCAGCACTCATGAACCCGCCGAGAGCAGCCTCACCTCGGCCAGATCTTCTGGAATTTGCCGCTAGCTCTGATGTCTCTATAGTGGTTAAACACGAGCTATAATTTGTTTTGGGTAAATCGGGTAGTCTTTGGTCTCATTAATCTATTATTTGTTCCAGAGCAAATAGTTTTGTCTGAGAGCATCATCTCATCACGTTATATTTTATGTAACTTTGATGCTGTATATCAGAGCGCTGCCTTTGTACTTTTGACTGAATTGCCTAGCAACTTTTATGATGCCTATTGTTGTTGTTTATTAAATATTATTATTCAATAAATAATATTTTAAATAATAATAGTAGCATTTAATGATAGTATTTAGTATTGAGAAACGGTGAGTGTGTGTTTGTGATGGTGATTTTAGTTACATTGTTCCGCCATTAGACGGCGACAGTCAGCAGTAAATACTTTTATATTGAAAGAGATTGATACAGGGTTGTAAACAAGGAAGCTAATTTTTCTTCTTTTTTTTTCAACAACACCTTGTAAGTCGCTGCCAACAAATGCAGTGAGCAGCGCTGTCATCGGAAATCACTCTTAACAGAGATGTCCTAATGTTTTATTGTGAATATGAGATTGAGCTGAATAATAAATGCTGAATGAGATGCAGGTAATCGCACTCGCTCAGTCCAACTCTCTCTCATAATAATCTAAATATAATTTTCTTTTTTTTTCAACAACACCTTGTAAGTCGCTGCCAACAAATGCAGTGAGCAGCGCTGTCATCGGAAATCACTCTTAACAGAGATGTCCTAATGTTTTATTGTGAATATGAGATTGAGCTGAATAATAAATGCTGAATGAGATGCAGGTAATCGCACTCGCTCAGTCCATCTCTCTCTCATAATAATCTAAATATAATTCAGTGAGCTTTTAATACAGAGATTCAATAAGCTTTCAATTAAACGTTAAACTAAACGTTCCTTCGTTACTAAAGTTCTAAGTAACGTTTTTCTTTTTTTTTCAGTTCACACAAAGCCAAGCCTCTATGATACTCTGGTCTCTACATTAGTGTTATTTTAGTACTACTTATAACAGTTCTTTCTGGTCCTCGAATCTGATTGGCTGAGAGAAGTGTGATATTCTAGTGATAACAGAAATCCAACCACTTCACCATTTGTTTCACTCCGCTTGCGGTATTTCTCACTGCGAGTGTCATGACGGATGCCCAAATCCACTATAATTTTACAAATAATACTGTTTTGTGTCACAGAATGTAGTTTTGAGAGTTTTTAGGCGAGAATGTACTTGTTTAAACTTCAAATATGCAGTTTGTTAACAAAGATAACGTCTATTTGAAAATTTGCTTCAGTCTTTTCAGAGATGTGAGCTCCAGGGCGTCAGCGGCTGTTCAGCACTCATGAACCCGCCGAGAGCAGCCTCACCTCGGCCAGATCTTCTGGAATTTGCCGCTAGCTCTGATGTCTCTATAGTGGTTAAACACGAGCTATAATTTGTTTTGGGTAAATCGGGTAGTCTTTGGTCTCATTAATCTATTATTTGTTCCAGAGCAAATAGTTTTGTCTGAGAGCATCATCTCATCACGTTATATTTTATGTAACTTTGATGCTGTATATCAGAGCGCTGCCTTTGTACTTTTGACTGAATTGCCTAGCAACTTTTATGATGCCTATTGTTGTTGTTTATTAAATATTATTATTCAATAAATAATATTTTAAATAATAATAGTAGCATTTAATGATAGTATTTAGTATTGAGAAACGGTGAGTGTGTGTTTGTGATGGTGATTTTAGTTACATTGTTCCGCCATTAGACGGCGACAGTCAGCAGTAAATACTTTTATATTGAAAGAGATTGATACAGGGTTGTAAACAAGGAAGCTAATTTTTCTTCTTTTTTTTTCAACAACACCTTGTAAGTCGCTGCCAACAAATGCAGTGAGCAGCGCTGTCATCGGAAATCACTCTTAACAGAGATGTCCTAATGTTTTATTGTGAATATGAGATTGAGCTGAATAATAAATGCTGAATGAGATGCAGGTAATCGCACTCGCTCAGTCCATCTCTCTCTCATAATAATCTAAATATAATTCAGTGAGCTTTTAATACAGTGATACAATAAGCTTTCAATGAAGCAACTAAACGTTCCTTCGTTACTAAAGTTCTAAGTAACGTTTTTCTTTTTTTTTTATAATGGAGGCTTGAGGTCAGCTGTTAAACTGGGATTTGAATCTGTGGTGGAAGTAAGTAGTTCCATACAAAAGAGGGTTTTTAAAGACACTCCATTGTTGTTTATTTTGTATCCACACATATATGCCTTCGAACTGTTATATAAATGCAATATTACACGAGTAGCAGTGCAATATGGATGTATATCAGCACGCTGTGAATTACCGAATCACAGCCATGCCGATATACAACCATATCACACTGCTACTCATGTGATATTGCTCATATATTATTTATTTATTTTAATTAAAGATTTTATTTCAGTTAATTGACAATTAAGCATTTGTGATTTTTTTAACGAGGCGTTCCCCATAGTGACCCCTAGAGGACGCAGTGTCTTGTTCCCTACTCAGGGAACCATGTTACATAAGTAACCTGAGACGTTTTTTTTTTATCTGATAGCCTATTTATATTTGATTTAATATTTATTACATTAATTAATAGTTTTAGTTAAAAAATAACAACAGTTCTCTACACGACTTGAACCCCTTCTTTAGTCTGTAGCATTGTTTTGTTTGTTTTCTTAATTAACTGGTTTTATTCAAGCCAAAATATTATTTTACATCACTGAATAAACCTAAATACATTAATTAATACTAATAAAAATAATTTCAACGGGTTAAATCAGGTAAAAAATAGCTCTTCAGAGTAACAACTACAGATTACCACTTTGTACAGTGTTCTCTTTCAGCTCATTGTAAAAAGAAAGAAAAAATAATTAAAATGCATGAGGTTTGAATCTCTGGCTTCAATCAGTGCTCCTAATTTTCATAAAGACAACTCCAATTACACACTATACATCACACAATTTCAGCTCATTTTTCTCTGAAACGATTATGCATATATTATGTTTGGTCTCCTTATATGGCCAGAAGTTTTCATATACTATGTCTTGGGTGTTTTGCTTGCTGAGGTCACTGGTTTAATTTGTCAGTGTGTTTCAGCAGTACCTCCCACTTGGACCAATCTCAGCACACAGTCTCTTCCTGGGTCTAAGCAATGGGATGCAGTCAATCTACTTGAACAAGTCACATCTGCACTGCATTAGCAGAGTTCATAACATTAAATTGGGCTGTAATTAGACTGTAATCAGCAGTAATATTGTTGGATTTTAACTTGCTAAAGAAGTAATATGAAATAGGCATGATGATGGTTGTCTCAGCTCATGGGTCACAAAAAGGATCTTATAATTACGGCAAAAGAGAATAAGAGTGAATTTGTAAAAATGTGACCAGTGACTCTATTCATCGTTTGAGAGTTCTAGGGTCAGTTTTGAGAGAACCCTGTGAATAAAATGACCCTGGAACTCATGCAGCTATTGCAATTATATTTACACATAGTTGACTTCTCTAGTTGACCATTTGATTAAAAATACAGTAAAAATAGCAACAATGTGAAATATTGACACAATTTAAAATAGCTGGTTTCTCTTTGAATATATTTTAAAATGCATTTTATTCCTGTGATCAAAGCTGAATTTTCAGCATCTGTGGAACATGATCCTTCAGAAATAATTATAATATGCTGATTCGCTGCTCAAATATTAGTTTTCTATCCGTTTTTGCTGCTTAATATTTTTGTTGAAACCATGATTATTTTTTCAGGATTCTTTGATGAATAGAAAGTTCAAAATAACAGCATTTATTTCAAATGAAAACACTTTTGTGACATTATAAATGTCTTTACTGTAATTTCTGACCAATTTATTGCATCCTTGTTGAATGAAAGTATTAATTTCTCACCCCAAACGTTTGAATCGTTGTGCATCATGGTTTCCACAAAAATATGAAGGAGCACAACTGTTTCCAGCATTGATAATATGCATATTAGAATGATTTATGAAAGATCGTGTGACACTGAAGACTGTAGTAATGATGCTGGGAATTTAGCTTTAATCACAGGAATAAATTACATTCTAATGTATATATATATATATATAAGTAATATGATATTTTAAATTTACAATATTTTTGATCAAACAAATGCAGCCCTGATGAGAAAAAGACTTATTTCAAAAGCATATTATTATTATTATATTCAAACCTTTGACCGGTAGAGTATATTAACTAAAACTTAACTAACGCTGAATGACTAAAAACATGCCAAGGTCCAAGACAATCGCAACCAACTGCCCATTAAAATCAGTCTATGTAGAGTTTTGCTATTGCAATGTAAACTGGTGAGTGACATCCTGAAAATCACAACCTCTAACCTCTTCAGACTCAACAACTCTATGGCCAGCAAAGAAAGTGAGGTTAGTCTTTTATGAGTCTTTTGTCCTCAGCTCATTCACTCCTAACTCTGGCTCACCTGAAACTCTTCACGCAGTTGGGAGGTGTTGGTCTGAGAATCCACACTTAACATGTCCTTATAGGTGAGCGTAAACTCGCTGATGGGGATGGCGGTCTCTCCGCACAGACAGGCCTCTAGTATGGCATCGTGGATGAATATATACTGCTCCTGAAAGAGAGACTGACACCTCAGGACAGAAAACTGCTTCAAAGAAATGAGGCCATGTCAAAACATGCACAATGCACTGTTCATTCTTTTGCTTTTATCTTATGGTTTCTTCTTTGTTGTCCAGGCCCTTGAGGGTTTAATTGAATGGAGAAATATTCAAAGATTCGTCCTCCAGTTTATTAACATGCAGTTCACCAACTCATTCTCTGTAGACTGACTGTATGAGTTACATAACAAATTTAAGGGGAAACAATAATATACAGTATATATATTAATTATTCAAAAGTAACACATTTTTATACAAAACACATTTTAATGTTTCTAAATCTGTTTTTACCAAACTTCTGTTCTAGTCCATTTTTAAATACTTGTTTCTTTACAGAATATACAGAATTTGAAAGCAAGGCGAAATTAAAACTGGAAGTTGGCATGACATATTTCATAAAATGTAGCATTCAACCTCCTACTGCACTTGTATTAGAGACATTAACATTTAAAAACAACATGAATTGCCATTCGCCAACCATTGTACTTTTGTATTTTTTCCAAGTGGAACAGAATGTTCACAGAGAAAAAATGTGGGACTTGATTGTTTTTTTTTTTCCATCGGGATTTGATGGATGTTTTGGAAACGGTGTTCACAACATCCGGACGAACCAAACTCTGTCATCAAATGAACTGGGGTAAGCACCAAAGTAGCCTGTCCTAGTTTAGTTGGATGACTAGCTGACTAGTTTTCTTACCTCAGTCTGGATCATGTTGATACGTCGCGAGCAGAGCGTCTTCACACAGTTATAAATGTCCACCACACCCTCACACTCCGCCATATCCAGCATCACGTCCAATACGATGTAACAGCCGGTTCGGCCAGCGCCCATACTGCAGACAGACGAATAACAAGGAACGATCGCACAGTGTACTGTTGAGCTAATCACAAGGGTCTAGAACGAAATGAGAGTGAGTAAACGAACAGATTTCTTTAATGTGGTGAGTTAAAAATGCCACCGTTCTAATGTAGCTCTTTGTATACACTAGTAAATGGGCTGTTTTAAGTAGAGGCACTTCACAAATTGAGTTCAGTCAATTCCTGAATATCCGTGCAGGGTTGGATGGAACTACCACAGCTCTTTCAAGCAGAACACTCAAGGAGTGTCTACAATGACCTACTACTGCCACAGTCAATTAACCCGGCTCCCAACCTGAGTCATCTCGAAGCTTGGAGTAGATGAGCCTGAGTACAGAATCGACATGCTGTACCACGGTACAGTTACCATGATATACTGCAATGAACACCTGCCAACCAGCCAGTAAAAAATGTCAAAGGCCAGTTTGGTGGGTTTTTATTGATAAAGTATGTCTTCCAACCAGGTGCCTTCAGCACTAGCAAAACAATGCATAAAGAGGGTCACAGAAGCGCTGCGTCTACTCAAACACATTGTTTTCTATGAGTGTATGTACAGCACTTTTTGTATTCTTGAAGTGAACTTTTTGCCTGTAGACTAGTGATTAGATTCACTGTTTTGGACTGCCGGCTTTAACTTGAGAGCGTGAGTACAGGATCGTTTATAGATGTCTGAAGTCACGGAGAATTTCATTCCATTTTTCTTTTTCTTTTTATGTTACAGTACGCAAAAAACGATTGACTATTGTAAATCTGAAAGCCATTCATTGATTCAGATTGAGAATCTGATTTATTAAGAAATACATTTAAATCTAAGCAGTAATTTTGATAATCTGGTTTATTATATTTGACTAGAAAAAGTAAAATATAAGGACACTTAAACAATTAGTATCCAGATTGGGTCTATTGTAAATGAGTCTTAATCAAAAATGTGTATTTTCCCAAAGTCAAAAAGATTCATATAAAGAAAAAAATAATAAAACATTTTTTTTTTTTTATAAAGACTTCATGATACTTAATCAGTATATTTTATTTAGACTCAAGACAAAATGTTACTTAATGTAGGGCAATATAATTAAAAAATAAAAGTACATAAATAGATAAATTACTACTATTACTACTACTAATTTCACATGGCAGGTCATCTGGGAGTCCGGTTGGATCAATATAGCAGCACTACTCTAAGCTCTGCCTTCTGAAGGGACTGGACATACAGCCATAGATGAGACACCTCAACTTCACTTAAACATCATGTGCATCACGACACACACTTCCTGTATTCTGGATGGAAATTAGACACTTGCTCCCAAATATAATCTAGACCAGATCATTATTATTATTAGTAGTAGTAGTAATATATATATATATATATATATATATGAAAGACCTCAATGTTTATTGCGACATGTATCATATTTATTAGGTTTATTTTGTTTTTTATGCAGTGCATGACTGCATGCTGAGGTATGCTAATGTTAACATCAGTTGCAAAATATTATATAAATAAATAATTACCATGTAGTAACTAGATTCCACGAAAATATCATAATTGCTACAGTTACCACATAAAACAGTTATACTACATTAAAACAGTGATAATTTGGGTCAAGCCAATAAATAAATAAACCAAAAGATAGAAATATTCTGAAAGTCTCTTTGAAAGAGATCCTATGATGTTACAGTATACTAACAACTGTAGTGACCATGGCATTTTGGAGGAAAGGGGACAAAGGAAAGCTCAATTAAGTGCTAAAGATGACTGGCCGATTATGGAATGTTCTCTAGCTAATAGGGTTTCTTGGTAAAGTTTATCTTCAGTAATGGTCAGCTGTGGGTCGCAGTCGTCAGTGTTCAATAATGGATAGTGTCCATCAGTGGGCGGCGGCAGCCCGAGGCAGAGGTACGCTTATTCTACTCACTCTCCCCACCTCCACCAGTTTGGTGATCATCACGATGCTATAGCAGTTCTCCTGCCAAACCATGCGCCAGAAGTCATAGATCATGTCCTGCTTGGGCCCTGCGGAGAGAGAGAGAGAGAGAGAGAGGAATGAGCTTTCATGGAGAATTGTGGGAGGTGAATAATTTGAACGCAGGATGAAGAGAGGATCGAGGTGGTTTTGTGAAATAGCGAGTCGCGACATCGACGAGGATTACATAAGAAAAGAGAAAACAGAGATGGCAAGCTGCAGGGACGCGGGAGCTATCGGTTCACATAGATGACAACGAATGGAGAAACTGCTGGCAGTGAAAATCCAGTGAGTGATAGCAGCAAGAAACTAGAGTTTTAACTTTTTTTTTTTTTTTGAAGAAATGTGAGTGATTGCAGGATGCTAGGCAGTTACTAAGGCTGGTGTTTTCAGTGCGCTGCTATGTGGTTGCTAAGATGATATGTTTTTTGAGTGTGTGTATCGCTATGGTGCAACACAATGTTTATCAAGAGAACATTGTCCTGGGCCCAAACGGGTTCTTACTTGACCAAGTCAAAATTATCTGAATATTACTACACTGTAAAAAAAAATTCCGTAAAATTTATGGTAAAAAACCGGCAGCTGTGCTTACAAGAATTTTACCGTAAAAAATACGGTAGCAACGTTTTAGGTTTTATGGTTTTAACTTAAATTTACAGTTAAATACCGTAATTTCATTAACTGATATAATGTTAATATACCAACCTATTGAAGTACTGAAATCTGTTTTGTACCTTTGTAATACACTGATAACCACCAACTGCAGGAGGTGATGAGAAAGTCACATGATGAACCAAAGCCCATCACAAGCAGCTTTTAAATAATAACATATATAGAAGGTGCACACAGTGTCATTCACACAGACACTAAACACCATCATGGTGACACACATGAGACTGAAATAATGCAATAAACATTCATTTAACAACATTAGGTGTAACACACAACCCTAACATACAAAACTGATTAGAAAAAACTAAGAATAAACAGTTATTTCAACAACAAAAAAAACATCAAATTTGAAATGTAACGCAGGGAATTCTGGGAATGTCAATTTACGGTTATTCACTGTAATATTATACAGTCTTTTTCCACTTCCAAAAACGGTATACTACTGTAAAATTACATGTTTTGTCCAATACAGTTTTTCACCGTATATATAGTAGGGGAATTTACCGTTAACCATTTAACAGGTTTTTACTGTAGCATTTTTACAGTCTTTTACCGTTAAATTCACGGTCATTTTTTTACAGTGTATGGTATTCTCTAACCAACTTATTTTTAACGTGAGATCAGATGCCACATTTGTGCTTTGGTGTCACTCACTTCCAGTTATTTTAGCTGAACAAAACAGGCCTTTACACTCTAAAAAATGCTGGGTTAAAAAGGGACAAACCCAGTTATTGGGTTGTTTTGACCCAGCGGTTGTGTTCAAAACAACCCAACTGCTGGGTCAAAACAACCCAATAGCTGGGTTTGTCCCTTTTTAACCCAGCATTTTTTAGAGTGTATGCTGTTTAGTATCGTAAACTGGCATTTGTTAATACATTATTTTTATTTATTATGGTAATCATAATCACACTGCCTTGTAGTGCAAACTGTTGTTGTGTAAGTCTTCAGAAAACACAAGAATGCTTTATATGATGAACAGGGGCCGGCTGCATAAACTGCTTAGACTAGTCTACCTCATGAACTTTCTGAAGTGTCAATGTTTTGGTTGTGGGGACTTTCAATGGATGGATAAAAATCTGTCAGGTTTAATTAAAAACATCTTTAATTGCGTTTCACAGATGAACAGAAGCTTGAAGGGTTTGGTACAATGGTGAGTAATTAGAATTTTCATTTTCATTTTCGGGAGAACTATACCTTTAACACAGTCAGTGTGGGACGGTTCACCTCTAACACCTCTAATAAAGTATTAACTATGAATGACATGAGCTGAACCTCTTTCATTCTCACTCTCGTCTCGTTCTTTTCTTCCTCGTGTATTTTTCTGTGCACACATTGCACATGAATAGCACGCAGATATGCACACACATGGAAATATTAGAAACACTAAAGGAAAGCCGCTGAAGGTTTGTAAGCGCAGTGCTGTGAACACTCTGCCCTCAGGCGACGAGTCTGTTATCTTCTCTACCTGTTAAAACAATTACAGCCTACAACAGGTGCTGCACTTCCTGAGTTCCTGAGCAGATCTCCTGCTATCACCCGCAGCTACATCCTCGAAAAATCACATTGAGATTTAAATAGAAGGAGGGGAGGCATGTTTTTATGGGCATATTGAAATGGCATTTCCCAGCTGACAGCACCAGCCCAGGTTAATCAAAGCACCTCTGCCAGGAGAAGTCTGCTGCTAACAACAAACTTAATTCACTTGACTTGTTAGTGATGTTTGCTAAAGCAAGCATCAATAAAAAAAACACACACACACGCGCGCACGCAAAAGCATGGAGAACAAGCAAACAAAATGAAAAACAACACCCAGAGCACCCCGTCACTGTAGTGTTCTGAGTTTTTCATGGGCCATGACATTTTGCAAAAATCTAGTGATAATCTAGTTGTCATTATGTGGGTTTGAGGGCTTTGGGGTTGCAGCTGCAGGGCTGATGGGGTAGATTTGTATTAAAGCCCACTGAGTCATGAGCACATCTGTATGCTGCGCTGTCACAATGCGAACATACAGATGGCCTTCACAAGACCTAGATCTCAGGACCTAAAGCCAGTTTAAACCTCCGGATAGAGTGCAAGCCTAGCAAAGCCCACACACGAGTGTGTGTACACCTGCTCAAACAGAGCACAGCAGTGCATGCGTGTGTTTGTGTTTGGAGGGAGTCGGTGTTGATCAGTGGCCCTGGTGTGTTGACGACCGACACAAGTGAGAGAGAGCGGATGAAATGAGATGCAGTTTAAACCTCCGGATAGAGTGCAAGCCTAGCAAAGCCCACACACGAGTGTGTGTACACCTGCTCAAACAGAGCACAGCAGTGCATGCGTGTGTTTGTGTTTGGAGGGAGTCGGTGTTGATCAGTGGCCCTGGTGTGTTGACGACCGACACGAGTGAGAGAGAGCGGATGAAATGAGACAGCAGAACATGCATCTCTGAATCTCAAAAATGAGTGTTTCTACTTGACATTTGATAAAACAAGCAAATATTCACACGTCCTATCTGTAGTTTGTGTGTATCATCTGATATTGATTCTTTAAGCTTTAAGAATTGAATTTACTCATGTCTAGAAAATCCTAGATGATGTTATCTATGTTCAAACATACAGTATCTGAATGCTGCTTTCTAAATGCCAAACACCAAATGCAAAGCATGAAATGCCACGTATGATAGCATGATATATCAGACAACCGGCTTTTGGGTCACCAGTGGTGTAAAATTATAGTTACACCAGACCTGACTGACTAGATTCCACAATTATTAGAGGTAAAAAATAAATAAATAGTGAACTAAAGTCATTGCATTTGATGAATTCCACAGTTTTTTAACTAAAATATGTTATTTAGACAATGTGGTTGGTGCAGAACCGAAACGTTTTTGAATACGGGTGTTTGAATGAATCCACATCACTATGATCAGATGCTTTCTGAACTGCTGTTTTCTCACCGCTGTCATTTATTTATTTTGTTATTGAGAGGATAGCGTGCAGCACATATTTACATATCCATCTATTGTGAGTACATAGATGTGGCCTTAAAGCAACCCGATCTCATGAAAGTGTGTATAAATAGTACGCCAATTAAAAACGAAAACTCGTGGTATTGATACGCAAAAATGGATTTTGGCGTGTATATGCTACGCGATGGGTAGGTTTAGGGTTGTGGGGTAGATGCGTATCATATGTACGCGAAAACTGCGTATCATATGCACGCCAACAAATTTTGTATCATATGCATGCAAAAACCGTGTATTATATGCACGCCAAACACATGTGTCTCATATGCACGACAAAGTCAATTTTTGCGAATCAATACCACGGGTTTTCGTTTTTATTTGGCGTACTATTTTTAGGCATTTTCATGAGACCTTAAAGATGTTAATAAAACCCAGTTCAGTTGCAGCTTTGCTTGGTTTATTATAAAATATCCTTCGTAAGTCTTGGGTAGACTTAGGAAGAAGTGCCAGAACTGTCACTGGTGCCCCTCTAAAAAAAAACTAGGTGCATGATAACCCTGCATGCACATTTTGTCAGCATTTGTAAGGCACACTGGCGTCCTGCCCACAGAATGTAGAGATGTCCAAATCAGTCACTTATAGGGTCCCATGACAGTTCGGGCTCTGCTGCAGAAGCCTAATGCCCGAGTAGACAGTATAGAGCAGATCTTCTATCTTAATATATTCTCCTTCTGTTCTTAAAACCTGCGTTCAGTAAGGTTTGTGGTTGATTTTATTACATGCTAATCCTTGACCAGTGCTTGCAAAGTCTTAGTGTAGTCAGAAATCAATAGATTATTTTTGTGTGAAGAGCAGGGCGGCTTTATACAGTAACTATAATGAACCTTTATCTGCTGTTCAGTCACCCACACTGCACCTCAGCCGCTGTGTGTGGGGTTCGGATAGAAAGCTTTGCTTTTAGTCTTAAAGGTTATGCCGGTTGATTGCACAGTAGTCAAAGGTTTCTGTGAAGTGCCTATAAATGAAATGCCTATGTGTGCCTGGACGTCATGTGCCATGTGATGGTGGAAATTGGTAGAGATTTTGCAATACTGATTGGCAGATTAATTTCCGCAGCTAACATTACGCACTGCTTCAGGTTATTTAGGCAAGATATCAGATGAATATGAAAATACAAAGCTTGATGTGTCCCGACAATTCAAGACAAGGAATAATTTGTTATTATTAAGAACAACATCCAGTTGTATATGGCTGCCAAGCAGTGTCACATCTGTATAATGTGTATATCAAAACATAGTTTTCATCTGCTTCAAACACAGCTCATCCAATCAGAGTCACAGATCCTTTTATAATATTAGTTCTACTGATTCTTAACCAGAAATATTCATTGATATTCAAAAATAATGTTATCTTTTGGTTTGCAGCCAAATAAATAAATAAAAAGCTTTTCATTTGTAAAGTATACACAAGTCTACACATAAAGTTTACAGAAAATTATCCAACACTGGCATTGTGTAAAATTTTGGTCATACCAGCTACCTATATATATATAAAGAAGAAAATGAAATGTTTATGTAATTAATGTACAGAAAACCTGAAGATTGAAATGCATCCTTCAGACAGGATAATGATCCAAAACCCAAAACTTTAGTCCACCTAAAGACTCACCAGTCAGAATACTCTTGTTAAAGTTCTGGTAAATGCTAATGTACTCAAAACCACTTGGAGTTCTTACACGTATCATTAAATACAGCAGGGCTCCATTCTGTAGCAATATAACGAGAACAATGTGTCTTTTATGATAGACAATGAGCCTGATAGAAACCAAGACGTCTGCACATTAGTACTAGTTTGCACTTTAACTGCACACTCAGATTACACTGACGCTACAGCATGCTAAACTAGAGACAATAATCTGGAACAATGCAGACAATTTAACAGAGACTCATCTGTTCAACCCCGAGAAACACGCAAAAGGAAAGGCAGCAAAAAGCTGTAGAAAATCACAAGGACAAAGTGACAAGAAAGCACAAAACTCTTTCAGAAGAAAGAAAATGTAAAGAAAAGATGTAGAGAAATGTCAGACCTCCTAGCTGTATTCTGTCTACAGCCTTGGGATATAAAGCTACAACACTGAATATTTCGACATTCATTCCCTTGATTTTCCCTTTCCTTTTGTTTCCAAAGAAAATCACATAAAGAAATGGAAGTTCTAAATAACATAAAGAAAGCATATTAAGCTGTTTTGAAGATGAAACCAAACTGATTTTTATGGGTTTTATTGAATTATCTATCTTGAAATAACATATATTTGTAATTATTTTATTGTTTATTTATTGTTTATTCTAATCAAACTGCATTGTTCAATGAAGAACATATGTAAAACATGCAACATAATGGCATAAAACGTCATGGCATTATTTAATCACATACTGTAAAACATGAGATATGTATCTGCTACATATCACATACAGGTGCATCTCAATAAATTAGAATGTCGTGGAAAAGTTCATTTATTTCAGTAATTCAACTCAAATTGTGAAACTCGTGTATTAAATAAATTCAATGCACACAGACTGAAGCAGTTTAAGTCTTTGGTTCTTTTAATTGTGATGATTTTGGCTCACATTTAACAAAAAGCCACAAATTCACTCAACTGTCTGATCAGCAGTCTTCCCCATGATTGTGTAGCCTAGTGAACACAACTGAGAGACCATTTTGAAGGCTCAGGAAACCTTTGCAGGTGTTTTGAGTTGATTAGCTGATTGGCATGTCACCATATTCTAATTTGTTGAGATAGTGAATTGGTGGGTTTTTGTTAAATGTGAGACAAAATCATCACAATTAAAAGAACTAAAGACTTAAACTACTTCAGTCTGTGTGCATTGAATTTATTTAATCCAAGAGTTTCACAATTTGAGTTGAATTACTGAAATAAATGAACTTTTCCACGACATTCTAATTTACTGAGATGCACCTGTATATCCTTAAAAAAATGCTTATGTATGCAATGCTTTAGGCCAGGATCTAAGACCAAGTATAATTTGTGGACTTTCATGTTTGTCCAACACGAGGTTTAAACTAGATTTCAGAAGCTGATAGTGATTTTAAAGACCACTTGAAATCAAAAGTGGTTTTGGTTCATGTCTGCTAGTTTTAATATCATATAGTTACAGTATATGTGTACACTAATAGCTATATGATATGCTCCGCTGCAACATTTTGTTTCCATCAGATATATATTTACAAAAAAAACAACGTTTGTCAAACCATTTCAGGGGGTGTTTAAAGCTTAAACTGATAAGGCCGTGGCTTACAGGAAGTGATCCAATGAGATCAAACAAAAGCTACAGTAAACACAAACAACAGACTGAAAAGAAGGGTTTGGGAAATAAAATGTCTGAGCGCAGAGCCATGATAGCAGGAATAAATGAGAAATGGACAGATGATGGCAGAAGACAAGAGAAAGACAAGTACTTACTTCCCTGTTTATCCGAATCTAAGAGATCCCAGACACAGAGAAAGAGGGATGGGTGAAAGAAGAGAGAAGAGAAACAGGATAATTAAGATAATTAAAGAAAAGAGAAAAGAAATAAAGACATCAGGAGTCAAATTCTCCATCCTGACCACCTGCAGTGAGGAAATCAATTCAAACTGCCTGCAAATTAGAGTTCAGAGTCGCCATGCACTGTTTGAGAAAAAATACAATAAAAATAAAATAGTCGATTGTATTCTTTAGTGTAAAAAAACAATGTGTTTTAGCAGCACAGTAAATAACTTAGTATAAGTAATTTTGCCATTCACTATGAAATATTCATATTTCATACAGACTAAAGGTCTCAGAAATTTTCGTATACGTTTTTTCGTATTCGTTATCCTAAAAATTCGTCACGCGCGGAAACCTTGCACACTGAGTCCGATGCGTATTAATTAATCCGTTGCGAAAAAATTTGCAAAACAGCACTAAATGGAGTCTTCCAGCAGTGAGGATGAGTTTGTTGTCTTCTCACTTCTTAAAAAGAGAAAAAGAGAGGAACTATTGGGTCCATCCAATCCTGAGATGTAGAGAGGACGGAGAGTTCCCCTTCAGGAGCAGCGGGATTATCCCGGGACGATTCAAAGTTTACTTCAGGATGTGTCAGTAGCTCAGTTTGATGCTTTTGCTAGCGATACTAGAGCCACGTATTAAAAAGAAGACCACCAATTTCTGTGAACTCAGTGTGCAAGGATCTATATACAGTGCTTTGTGCTGCGAGACGAAGTGGATGAACTTGACAATCGCCATTCTGGGTTTTGGCGTTCGCTTGTACGGTGGCTCTAAACTGTCAAAACACCTCTCAAAATGCTTGCTATGGATGCGAAAAACGAAAAAAATCGAACCCGATCCAAATTATTTTATGACGGATCTCTAAACTGTCAAAACACCTCTCAAAATGCTTGCTATGGATGCGGAAAACGAAAAAAATTGAACCCGATCCAAATTATTTTATGACGGATGAATATTTCGGAGGCAGTGTGTAAACGTGAGGTCGTATTTATTTTTTAAAGTGCGAAAATTTCGGATGAAATTTACGCACTCGGTGTGCAATGACCTTAAGGGTGAGAATTTTAGGCAACTTGCATTTTGAATTTTCAATTCAATATGCAGTCAAATTTGAAAACTATTCTTAATGACGTAGAAACGTAGAGTCGCAAGTCTTTAACCCGTTGGGTTTCATCAAATTCTGTTTTATGACCCACGTAACAGAGGTCAATGCATTGCCACATCAGAGCCACATTCTATGTTGTCTTTGTCATTAAACGTTAACTGTTTTCTGTGGGCAAACACAACAATGACCGTGATATCTTGTGGTATCTTGTCATTGTGATTGATGCATAAATAAATGTATTATTTTTAAATATCAAGTTCATTACGCTGGACATTGGTCTGTTGTTTTCTACAAGATAAAATTATCTAAAACATATTTGTCCTTTGTCCTTTTTTGTCCAAATGTAAACAAATTTGTCCTTAGCAGTTGAACTTACGTGAAGATTCTCGTGTATATTTGTTTACACAGTCCAAGCATCTTTCTTATGGTTTGCTGTAAATGTCAGTACTGATATATATATATATATATATATATATATATATATACATGGTTTTTTTTTTGCTTTCAAAACATATATTTGCCAAAAACAGTACATTAAATATTGGTTGACAACATTTAAACTGTGCTGTCTCGTTTCCAATATTGCCTTATTTTGGTGTAAGAATCCGTTTAACTTGCATCACAACCTTAATAGTGATTCTCATTCAAGAATCCAAAAAGTCAATCCACTGTTTTCATTAATCACATGGGGATTTCATTCTTGCGTGTGAATCACCATTGAGGAGGAGAGAAAATCAAGACATCTGGTTTTCATAAAGGTTTTAGTATCAGACCTCTATAATCAGAGCCCATTTCTCATCACCCAAAACCTGCCACTCAAGCACAGCCCAAGCAGAAAGAGTGATTCGGGTCTGTTCATTTTGAAAGTGCTGATCATAACAACAGCTCCTAACACACTTCAGCCTTGAATAGAAATAAATGCTATTCAAACATATAATAGAAACCTGTAGAGCCATAAAAAAATTGACAAAACATCTAAAAGTTAGTCTTTGGAGTCCTTAACTGTCAAAACACCTCTCAAAATGCTTGCTATGGATGCGGAAAACGAAAAAAATTGAACCCGATCCAAATTATTTTATGACGGACGAATATTTCGGAGGCAGTGTGTAAACGTGAGGTCGTATTTATTTTTTAAAGTGCGAAAATTTCGGATGAAATTTACGCACTCGGTGTGCAATGACCTTAAGGGTGAGAATTTTAGGCAACTTGCATTTTGAATTTTCAATTCAATATGCAGTCAAATTTGAAAACTATTCTTAATGACGTAGAAACGTAGAGTCGCAAGTCTTTAACCCATTGGGTTTCATCAAATTCTGTTTTATGACCCACGTAACAGAGGTCAATGCATTGCCACATCAGAGCCACATTCTATGTTGTCTTTGTCATTAAACGTTAACTGTTTACTGTGGGCAAACACAACAATGACCGTGATATCTTGTGGTATCTTGTCATTGTGATTGATGCATAAATAAATGTATTATTTTTAAATATCGAGTTCATTACGCTGGACATTGGTCTGTTGTTTTCTACAAGATAAAATTATCTAAAACATATTTGTCCTTTGTCCTTTTTTGTCCAAATGTAAACAAATTTGTCCTTAGCAGTTGAACTTACGTGAAGATTCTCGTGTATATTTGTTTACACAGTCCAAGCATCTTTCTTATGGTTTGCTGTAAATGTCAGTACTGATATATATATATATATATATATATATATATATACATGGTTTTTTTTTTGCTTTCAAAACATATATTTGCCAAAAACAGTACATTAAATATTGGTTGACAACATTTAAACTGTGCTGTCTCGTTTCCAATATTGCCTTATTTTGGTGTAAGAATCCGTTTAACTTGCATCACAACCTTAATAGTGATTCTCATTCAAGAATCCAAAAAGTCAATCCACTGTTTTCATTAATCACATGGGGATTTCATTCTTGCGTGTGAATCACCATTGAGGAGGAGAGAAAATCAAGACATCTGGTTTTCATAAAGGTTTTAGTATCAGACCTCTATAATCAGAGCCCATTTCTCATCACCCAAAACCTGCCACTCAAGCACAGCCCAAGCAGAAAGAGTGATTCGGGTCTGTTCATTTTGAAAGTGCTGATCATAACAACAGCTCCTAACACACTTCAGCCTTGAATAGAAATAAATGCTATTCAAACATATAATAGAAACCTGTAGAGCCATAAAAAAATTGACAAAACATCTAAAAGTTAGTCTTTGGAGTCCTTCTCACCGCAGAGGTTTTGATTGCTCAATTCCACGGGATAACCTTCCCACCAAAAGACGGCAAAATGGCTTTACTGAGATTCCAGCAGAGATAGTTAAAAAAAAACTGATGCTTCTTATGTGGGACAGGAACGTATGTTTGAAAGCCGTTATCCATCAAACGGTTAGGATTAGGAGCAAAGTGTTCAGAATCTACTTTTTAGACAGGAAAGTGTCACGTGTCTAAGATTTGTGCTAAGAACTCTTTCTGGGAAAAACGTAACGGACAGCTGAAATACTGAAATAAAAACAAGGTTTGTGGAGAAAGTGTCAAAACCAGACAGCAAAGTCATCAATGGATAAAATCTCTCGGTGAGAAAAGGAATTAGCATCAAAGCCACATAAACGTGTTAATGTGTACACCTTCACCGAAAGCTAGAGTGAGAGAAACACCTCTTACTTGAAGGCAACATGCCCAGAGAAGGAGGTGTGAACAAAGGAGTGTAAAACAGAAAAACTTACATCGATGTAGTTTGCATTGACATAGTCTGAGTTAGGATCGGCCAGGAGAGAATGCATTTTCACACGGTGACGGTCTTCTGTTAGGGATTAAAAATGAAGAGCAATGCTAGTCAGTGATGATAACAATAACAATATTAATAATAATAATATAATAATAAATAATGAATAAAGCTCTGTTCCAAATCCAGATGAGCTACCTACAGTAGGTAGGCTGTGATAGCTGTGCTCTATTTGTAACTCATTGACTGTTGGACCCAGTATTTGTGCTATAATCATTACTTTGAAGAACACTTACGACCCAGAAGGGTGTCATGTCGGCCCTTGGTCTTGTCCTTCTTTTCGTTTATGTCCCAGCCATCGAAAAAACTCTGCAGACACACAAGCAGAAGCATAGAAATGATTGTGGTGTGCTGGACACTATACACACTAATGGCGCTTTTCCACTGGTACGGCACGGTACGGTTCATTTTTGGGAGGTTTTCCACTGGGTACAGTACCTGGTACCTGGTACTTTTTTTAGTACCACCTCGGTTGGGGTTCCAAGTGTACCGTACCGTTACCAAAATGTAACATGTAAACTCTGCTGATCATGGATTGGCCGGAGAGAATCGTCACTACCTGCGTCACTGAACTTGCGACACAAACACAACAGAACCGCTAGATTTAAATCAGCACAGCCAGCGAAGGATCGAACGCAACGGTTTTGAACGAGCACATCTTTTTTAACAACCAAAAGGTTTTGTTGTCTGTTGCGGAAGAACAGACGTTCCTCTTGTTGATAGCAGAGGAGCGGATCCAGCGAGAGCTTGATGGGGCGACGCGGAATGAAAACGTTTTTTTAGGAGTCATGGCAATGGAGTCATGGTCAACTATAGACATGTGAATAATCCCGCCCACTCTAAAGCGGTACTGAACTGCAGTGGAAACGCAAACCGAGCCGAGCCGAACCGTGTCATGCCGAGTCGTACCACGCAGGGGAAAAGCGCCATAACATTCAAGAAGGAATTAGTACATACAGTAAAGACGCATTAAATTGGCATCAAAGTCTTTTATAATGTTACAGAGGATTTCTATTTAAAATCAGTTCTGCTCTTCTTAACTTTCTTCTGAACTTCTCAAATAATCCTAACAAAACAAACACATACCACGAGTTATGTAATCAGATGGCTTTGTTTTTAAGTAACAAGTAATGCATTACTTTTTTAATTTACAAGAATATATTCGAGTTACTTTTTCAAATAAGTAACACCAGTTATATTATAATCAAACAAGCAAACCCAGCCCTGATTTTAAAAGTAGCATAGTAATATTGTAATGCGTTACTTTTAAAAGTAACTTTCAACACTGATGGTTTCCACACAAAAATAAAGCGTCACAACTGTTTTCAGCTTTGATCAGAGGAATCATTTTACAAAATATACTCTAATAGAAATAGTTCATTTAAATTGCAATAATATTGCACAATATTACCGTTTTGACTACATTTTTACGTCTTTAAAACGTTTAAACATATTACAGTACAGTATATTGTTATTCATGTTTAGGCAAACACACCTTTCTATGCACTACTGCGCTATTACTGCTGCATTTATTACTATATTTATGAACGTTATGCCAGCAGTTTGCCATCACATGATGATCAAACTATAAAGACGGGCATTATAACTGTATCCCAGTCAACCTAGCACTCAAAATCGCTCTCTAAATGCTCCATGCAAATTGCGATCAGCAGTAAATGTGTGCCTATATTTGCTGTATTACCGCATTTGCATAATTCCTTTAGTGAAGGTGGTAAAATAACACAGACAACACATGCAAATACATGAAGCTATGGGTGTGCAAAGCATCCTTAATGAATCCCTCCCATGCTTTTTCTTCATCATTTGGGGTTTTGATGTGATATTGTGCAGAACACATTTAAAGGCATTCATTGTGTGATTGGCTGTGCATCTCTGTCACCTAAACATACACAGGTACTGCTTATTTATTTAGTTTGAATGTGATAATAACACATGTATATTTCTTTCATGTAATAAAAGTGTTGTAATTACTGTCAAACTCAAGAAAAGCATGTAGCTGATAGTTTTCAGTGGCTTCTGTGTGCACGTACGCGTTGCGCACTGCCTGTGTACTCCAGCTGCCTAAGTGCTTTCTAATGCCGCCTAGTTTTTGAGTTAATGTGTGACAGCTGTTTAAGTTAATGTGTGACAGCTGTTTAACACACATTCCCCCCGAAAGCAGGTGAAGCGTAACACCTGGCAATTACATCTAAATGACTGTAATTTAAAAAAGACCCCCCAAAATAAGTGATGCAAATACATGAAGCTATGGGTGTGCAAAGCATCCTTAATGAATCCCTCCCATGCTTTTTCTTCATCATTTGGGGTTTTGATGTGATATTGTGCAGAACACATTTAAAGGCATTCATTGTGTGATTGGCTGTGCATCTCTGTCACCTAAACATACACAGGTACTGCTTATTTATTTAGTTTGAATGTGATAATAACACATGTATATTTCTTTCATGTAATAAAAGTGTTGTAATTACTGTCAAACTCAAGAAAAGCATGTAGCTGATAGTTTTCAGTGGCTTCTGTGTGCACGTACGCGTTGAGCACTGCCTGTGTACTCCAGCTGCCTAAGTGCTTTCTAATGCCGCCTAGTTTTTGAGTTAATGTGTGACAGCTGTTTAGCACACATTCCCCCCGAAAGCAGGTGAAGCGTAACACCTGGCAATTACATCTAAATGACTGTAATTTAAAAAAGACCCCCCAAAATAAGTGCAAGTCACGTTTTCCCACTCATCCATTAAGTCCCCTTTGCTCTCGCATTCTATCAAGTCAGACGCAGTTAACAGAGCAGATGCATCATCAGGATGCTGACGTTAATTTCCTGCTGGGCACAGAGCTTTTTTTTTGTTTTTAGGGGTGTGTGAGAGTTTTATTTTGTTCTAAAACCAAAATGAATCCAATATGGAGGCCAAAGTGAGAGGAAATGTAATTATGAATATAATTCCAGAAATTAATCACTGAAATATACTTTTTACAGATTTAACTTATATTTACAGTAAAAAGTACATATATTTCATTAATTGAATAATGTAAATATATAACATTTATATTCTTTATTATATATACTGTCAAATGCCTTAAAAACACAGGTGGTAAAGAGCAGTGTTGCGGGTAACGCATTACAAGTAACGTGAGTTACTTAATCAGATTACTTTTTTTCTAGTAATTAGTAAAGTAATGCACTACATTTGAATTTACAATGAAGTATCTGAGTTACTTTGTGTGAGTGAGTGTGTGTGTGTGTGTGTGTTATTAAGAAACAAATAAGCAAGCCCAAAGTAAAAAGTTACTTTTTATGGAGTAACGCAATATTGTAATGCGTTACATTTAAAATGAACTTTCCTCAACACTGGTAAAGAGAAATCCACATGATGAATCACAAATAGCTTTTAAATATTAATATTAAATAGTAATATATAACAGGTGCACAGTGTCATACACACAAATACAAAACACCATCATGGTAATGCGCATGAAACTAAAATAATGCAATAAAAAAATAATTAAATAAAAAAAAATTTTTTTTCAATTTTGGGAATATCAATTTAATATTTTTTTCTCTGCATATGATATATAAGATGACTTATCTTTTTCACTCCAAAATAAATTTCTGTAAAATTACATTTTAACAGTTTTTTTTTTACCACTGAAATTTAAATATTTCTAAAATGTCATCAAAATCTTATCTAAAATTCTAGTTCTTCCTGAGGTTTTGTGCTAACCAGTCACAGCTGCAGAGAGAAACAAGCCATTGTGTCAGTCACTTCAGTTTCTGTTCGTTCTGTTGTAATGTGTACCCCTAGTGAAAAATAAATATCCTTAAATGTGTTTTAAATACATTTCTTCCATGCTAAGTATACTACAAATACATTTTCATTTTTATGTACTTAATAAAATATCTTGCAGTTGTACTTTTAGTATACTTAAAGTCTGCTAAATTGGAACAATTAATTTTGTACTTAATGGACTTTTTTTTTTGTGCAGAAGTAGTGCTGAAGTACAATTAAATATATACTTAGTATATTTTATTGTGCTAAAGCGGAACTATTGCAAGTATACTTCAGGTACACTTTAAATATTTTGCATTTAAAGTCCGATATTACTGAAAGATCATACAATCCTCATCAAAAGTGACATTAAAACATTTTAGACTTAATATTAAGAAAAGTGCACTGTGCACAAGTAGTATGCCAAGTAAAGTTTAATTATAGTTTTATATCAGCAAGTCTCAAGTTGTCTGTCAGTAAATATGTTAATAGATTTGAACTATACTTAGTATGAAACTATTAATAAAACTATTTTAAATATTTTACTTTTTTACTAGGGACACATTACAGAAAACACACCTGCGTCTATCCTGCCTCTAATGGAGACACTACTGTAACTGAAATCCTGCAACAGGGAACCAGTGGAAGTCGTGGCCGAATGGTTAGAGAGTTGGACTCGTAACCCAAAGGAATCTCGTACCTGCAGGGATTGTAGGTGGGGGGAGTGAATGTACAGCACTCTCTCCCACCTTCAATACCACGACTGAAGTGCTCTTGAGCAAGGCACTGAACCCCCAACTCCTCCCCGGGCAAAAATGGCTGCCCACTGCTCCGGGTGTGTGTTCACGGTGTGTGTGTGTTCACTGCTGTGTGTGTGTGTGTGTGCACGTTGGATGGGATAAATGCAGAGCACTAATTCCGAGTATGGGTCACCATGCGTGGCCACATGTCACGTCACTCACTCAGTGTCTGTTTGGACTGCCTGCTATAGAGGGAAGCCTTTTGAGACAAGCAGTGACCAGGGTAGAAAAGGGATCTTTAATAATTGTTGTGTATTGGTTGACTATTTTGGACCTGTAGAGCTGAGCCAGAGAGGGAATCTGGCAGCGATTGCTGCATCAGAGCACCAGATAATGTGTTTCTTTGAACAATCATTAGCAGAGCCAAACAATGACAGACGATGCAGTTACACTTTCAACGATGTGTCTGATCAACTGTATATGACAGATATGCAATATCTGGGTATGTTGATGCATTGATGTGCTTTCTGACAGACTGAATGATTTCATCACATGTGAGAGGGTTTGAGATCAGAGTTAGACCACATTGACTGGAGAAACTCTGATCACCTGAGAGGAAAGTGCTGGACATTGTTTCCTCAAATCAATGAAAATTTCAGCAGCCTTTGTGGTGCTGATGTGAAGACTTTAATTTCCCTTTTTAAAAAGACTAATGCCAGTGACATTATCCGCACAATTCTGTAGTTTGACTGAGAAAGAGTTTGGTCATTAATATATCTAGGATGATCAT